AGGACTGATACTTCGGGCAAGCTTGAAAGCAAAACGGGAAAATAAGCCCAAGACGCAAAAGAGGCTACGGCCGAATTAACACGAATCGGAGACATTTGTTCGATAATATCATAAAAGGCTACCCCCGGAAAAATCATAAAAGGCTTCGATAATATCAAGCCTCGAAAACTCTAATGAGTACAAAATTGTTCAAACTCTCGAACAATTCCCTATTTCATGCTAAGGCATTACAAGTTTCGCAAATACGAATGATAAGAAACTCTTTCAAGCCGAAAAAGGGACAGAGCCATAAACAATATTTTTTACAAAAACCTAAGGGTTACTTTACTTCGAGTTCGAGCAAGCGCTCACTCGACTATAAAGCCTAAGGGCTGTTTTCTGCTTTGAGTTTGAGAGACCGTCCTCACTCAAATAAAAAAACCTAAGGGTTACTTTACTTTGAGTTCGAGCAAGCACTCACTCAACCATAAATCCTAAGGGCCATTTTCTGCTTTGAGTTCGAGAGACCATCCTCGCTCAGCTAAAAACTGAAGGGTTACTTTACTTCGAGTTCGAGCATGCACTCACTTGATCAAAAGACCTAAAGGCTACACTATTTCGGTTTTGATCAAATTATCTAAACCCCGATCTTAGAATACAACTTCATAATTATATAAGACAGAAAGAAAGAAGGTTTTTTATATATGTCAAAAATCATTTACAAGGGAAGCATGGCCTGATCAAGTTTCTCTACGAAAGAGCGAAACAGTCTTAAAAAAAACACAAAATATACTAATCCTAAAGGACTTAGTCCTCTCTAGGAGAAGCATCTTCGCCCTCGAGGCATCCTTCACTTTCAGATCCGCTCATACTCCCGGTATCATCATCATCAGGAAAGGCCAACACTCTGTCTTCGGCTTCGAGCTCCTTAGCATTCTCGATCTCGGCTGTAAGATAGAAGCCACAAGCATGGATATCATCAAGAGTCTCCCTTCAAGACTGGCATTTAGCATGCTCGGCAACCCAGTTTGCTTGAGCTTGAGCAGCTTCAGCAACCTCCTTCGCTCGAACCTGAGCAATTTCAGCATTGGACCGGTAGACGGCCACCATTGCATCAGCATTTGCCATGGTTGTTTTGACTTCCGATTTGGCCCTGCAAGTTCTGTATTCAGTCTCTCTCGATCAGAAGTTGCTGAGCCCAACCGAGACTTGAGCTCCTCGATTTCCTTGGCTTGAACCAAGGCCTTCTCTTTTTGGGTCTCAGCCGAGGCCAATTGAGCTCTGGCAGCCTCCTTTTCTGAGGCAAGGCGGTCCATGTTCTTTTTCCACTCCTCGGCCTCCGCTTTCACTGCGTCCACTTCAACACGAAGCTTCCTGATCACATCGAACATTTGTTGAACCTGTGGGACCAAACTATTAGCCATCACGCCCGAGTCAGTGTTATTAACTTCAAAGATTATTTTCACCTGCTCGGACAAATCGACCTGTTCTTTCTGAGCTGCTTCTAGCTCAGCTCGAAGCCCTTTTTCTTCTCCTTCTCTCTGCTCACTAAGAAGCTTGAAGGCATCTCTCTCCTTGGTAAGCCTTCGGATTTCGGCTTCGTACCGGCTTAGCTCCCATCGGGATCAGACAAACACCTCGTGATGAAGCACAGAGGCCTATAAAAATAGAAAGAAGGAATTATGCAAGGAAAGAAAAATAAAAGTTTGAAAATTGACAAAGAGATAATGAACTTACCCAATTCAGGTCCTGTTGAGTTTCGTTGAAAAGACAAGAAACTCCCACCTCGCCCAAGCTCTTCCTCGGAGCCTCCAAGTCACTCAAACCGGTGACATCTTCTCCTCCGACAAAATAACCACGGAAAGGATCTTCCTCCCCGTGGCCCCCTCCCCATGACAAGTCTCCACGGCTTGAGCGTCACGTATCATCGACTAGAAAAATGAAGGAAACGAGGGGGAATCTCAGATCTCTATTACCCCAAGTAGGTTTTTTGGGGAACTGCCTCCCTCTTGACAGCTTCAAGCCCGATTTCTGCATCGGCATCCACCGCCTCTTCAATGATCTCTTCACCCCGAGGAAAAATATCTTCGGTTTCCCTCGGCTCGGGAACTTGGGCCGGAGTCTCCTCTTCGACCTCGTTGAGCCTAGACGGAGCGGTATCAGTCCCCACTGGTCCCGAAGTTTTATGAATATCGGTGCCAGCTCGTGCACGTGCCACCAGCCCAGAACCACGTTCTTCTCCTCCTCTTTCTTCTTCTTCTTCTTCTTCTTCTTCTTCTTCTTCTTCTTTATCCCTTAGTCTTTGAACTGACTCCATAGTCAGTGGGATTATGTTCCCCTTGGGCTTACGGGCTGTTCTCTTCTTAGGTTTTTGACCCTCGGAGTCCGAGGTCCTCTTCCTCTTATTCTCCTTCGGCGATTTTGAGACAGGTGGTAAAACTTCTTCACCATCGGATGGGGGCCTCATAGCCACATCCTTTCCGAGACCTACAAAAGGAGAATGCAAAAATGATTGAACGACAGAAAAATCGGTAAGGTAGGAAGAAGACTTACCATGAGTATGAGCCTCCCACTGACCCTTTGACAAATCGCGCCATGCACGCTCGGCATAAGATGACGTCGAAACTAGGCTCCTAACCCAGTTCTCGAGGTGGGGAACCACACCCGGCACCCAAGCAACGGCTGTGTCAAGAAAAACATCGATAAGAAATGATGAAGAAGTAACAAAAATGAACAGGAATTAAAAGCAGAATCATACTTACGTTTCATATTCCATTTCTCGGGAAATGGCATGCTCTCAGGATCAGATCCGTTGTTTTCACTCGAATGAACAAGCCCATCCAGCCTCGATCTCTGTCTTCATCTATACTTGAGATTAGCGCCTTGGTGACCCGGCGTTGAAGCTTTATCAACCCACCTCGATAGAGTCGAGGGCTATATAATCTCATGAGGTGGTTAAGGGTGAAGGGAAGCCCATCGATTTTGCTCACAAAGAAACGGAGCAATATGACGATCCTCCAGAAAGAGGGGTGAATTTGACCGAGGGTTACCTGGTATTTCTTGCAGATGTCTATAATGATCGGATCGAGAGGACCCAGCGTGAAAGGATAAGTGTAAACACTCAGAAACCCTTCCACGTGGGTGATAATCGATTCTTCTGGTGCCGGTATCACAACCTCTTTGTTTCCCCAATTGCAATCTTTTTTCGCACGATCAAGAAGGCTTCTGGGTATCGAGCATATATATCTCGATATCGGTTCTCATCGACTAGGAAACGGTGAGGGTTTCTTAACCTTAAAGTCGGAATCAATAATGCACCCCCCGGGAACAAGTTCTTCAAGGTGTGGCTCCACCACTGTTTTCTCGCCGACCGGCCGAGATGAGGAAGAACCTCTTTCTGTAGAATGGTTTTAGATGTTTTGGCCATCTAAATTTCTGTGAACAAAGAAGAAGGGAAATTGAAGTATTTGGTGTTTTGAGAAGAACAAGCAAAGAAATTCCAAAGCCTAGAAATAGGAAGCTTTGAAGAAGGCGAAGAACTGTGTAGATTGGAATGAAAAAGATTTGAAGGTAAAAGTTTGAAATAATGAAGAAGGGGATATTTATAGATTTCACAGCGACGGTTCAAAATTAGCCGTTGTCGACCATCGATTGACGCGCATTTAATGCCTTGGTAACTGGACCGACGGGACGTTTGTCACATACGTCACAAATCAGGCTCTTTGCAGACGTCAGTATTCATCTAGTCGGAGGTTGAAAAATCATATCGTTTCTCGCCACCTTCTTTCCGAGAAACGAGGGGACTATTTGTATACGGTCAAAATCGAGTTTGCCCTTCGTGTGACTAATCAAGATTGGAGCATGATGGATCGAGGTTCGTCATTATAATATCGAGCGGTGCTGCGAAGTTGGGTTTTCGAGTTCGAGACCCAGAGATCGATCAATACCGAGATCGAGCCAAGGTCGAGCTCGAGACCCAAAGACCGATCAATACCGAGATCGAGTCAAGGTTGAGCTCGAGACCTAGAGACCGACTAATGTCGAGATCGAATCAATATCGAGCTCGAAACCCAGAGACCGATCGATACCGAGACCGGCCAAGATTGAGACCGAGTCAAGGAACAAAAAAATCGTTATAGCCGCATTTGGGGGGAGAATCTCGGCGGAAATCACGGCTTGAATCAAGGAAAAACTTATTAATTAATCTATCATGGGATCCCCACTATGTATTTTTAATTATATCCAAAGTAGGATTCCCCCACTATATTAAGAGTGGTTATCATTTGTAAAAGGGGATTCATTCACACATTTAGATTTACTGAGATTTAATAACATCTAGCCAATATTATCCTTTTTGGGCTTTGATATTGATTCATCTTGTTCTCTTATCAATCACTCTCTATTCAATTTGGGTTTATATTCATCCTTTTTTACAGATAAAATTCAATATATCTTTACTTATTTTTCAAATTTGTACCAAGTTATAACATGTATCCTTAGAACTACGTATAAATTCAACTCTATCCGTTTTTCGGGTAAACATTATTTTATTTTTGTCATCATTAAAACATTAAGCTAACAAGTACTGTGGTGCAATAAAATAAGATTTGAGTGACAACTCATGAACTTAACGCGTAGTTTGTCTTTGTTGTCTCCCATTTTTTACCATAAATAGTTTAATTTCCTTATGTCTTGTACTTTATAATTTTGAATTACTGTTAATGCTATGTAATCCTCAGACCGAATTGCAACTGTTCCAAGTATGAGGGAGAAAGAAGCTGAAAAGGAAAAGAAACATTAGATGTTTAGTGAAGAAAACAGTCATACAACTACTTTTATCATTCCATCTTCACATTAGGATTAGTAGGATATATCGTTGTGCATTATGAAAATGTTAAAAACCTGTCTGCTTAGAATTGTTAGGAAATCAGAAGGTTCACACTTTGTGAAAGCCGCGGTTTCCTCTGAGAGATTGTTACAGACAATTTTAAGTAGGTTTTAGAACAAATCTATGGTGGCAATTTCAACACAAAAATGACAGGAATATATAAATAACTCAAGAAGTTCTACAAAACACTCAACAAAGAAACTATAACCAGAAGCATCACATTGACAGGCTTAGAAGTAAATGCATTACTCTTAAGGCTTTTAGGACTACTCGCTTGGATCATTATTTTGAATTTACAGGTTCCACCCGGTGGTGATGGATCTGTGTTTGTGACCATGGAAAGGTTCGGAAACTTGCAGGCAGTAGGTAGCTGGTCGTTTTCCTGATAGTAACTGTTGAATGCATATGAAATGTTACCACGAGTATCCAGATCCGCGCATGATGTTCCATGTCCGAGGCTGGTGCAATCAGCATGTGAACATGCATAGCCCACACTATCAGCTAGCTGTGGATCATCAAGACTGGCCGAGGGCGACAGCACGCACCACTGGCGAGCCAGGTAATGAACACCGCTTGCTGGTACTAAACCTCCACTGTTTGCACCCAGGGAAAGATTGTATTTAGGCGTACCATCGAAGTAAAATATTCCCCAATGGCGTTCAAAGCTACCAGGCTGGATGCTTTTCGCGTCCTCGTCGATCAGGCTGAACAGATAAGCATCTATAGGGCCAGGTCTCATTGGTGTCCCCTTTCCACCCGAAATGTGAGTCATGAATCCTTGGTTGAATCTCTGGGCAGCCTTTAAGTTTGCATTATTGTCTCCATCTGTTGGCCATCCGACTTCCCCTATTATGATTGACATATTTGGGTATCCATTTTTCTGCAACGCCCAAAGCAGGGTATCATGGTTTGCATCGAACACGTTGTTGTAAATTTTCCCATTGTCATCGATGGCGTTTGAATATCCGTCGAAGAAAGCATAATCAGCAGGAAAGTTGGGGTCATTGTAGAGACTTATAAAAGGATAGATATTGACAGTAAATGCACCACCATTGTCATTCAAGAACTTGACAATGTTCACCATGAGATCACGAATGTCTTGCCTGAAGTCACCTGTTGAAGGTTTTTCACTTGAACTCTCGTATACATCGGCATTGAGAGGAATAGTGACTTTCACCCGATTGCCAAGACCGGCTTTTATGAGGGCTGCCTGGATGTTTTGAAGAGCTGGGAATGTTGTTGGCAGAAATGTTCCATTAAACTGAGATAGAAATGGTTCATTTCCAACTGCAACATATCTGGACAGAAAAGAACTTTATTTAGCAAAACTGCTATTGCTGACTAGTCTTTGAGCCAACCTCTTTGTAGTTTGGCTAAGATCATACATGAACGATAGTTGGAGTAATCGGCTCTCTCAGGATTCCCTTATGACCTATTTCTTTTTAAATGCCTGCAACTTGACTATGAGTCCATGACGAAATTTCGAATGCAACAACAAGTCATGGTAATATCTAATTTCTTTTTCTTAACTTGGGGGAGATGGAGGAATGAGGTTTCAAGAATTCATCTAACATCAGGTCTATAAGAACATTCTAATTTGTTGAAACACAAGTGTAGACCATCAACTTGATATCTTATTCATTCATATTATTAAATTAAATGTCCACCTGTTGATAATAAAATAAGAAGCAACTCCTACCAACAACACACAGCTATTACTGAAAATGAATTCCTTTCTAGAACGGGTTTTTGCAGAGAAGAGAACATGCTATGTTCTTTGGATATAAATTTGGATTTACTTACGTTGCGAGACATGAAAAAAATACCACTTTTATACAAAGATTATACAAGAATGAAACAGAGTAATTAAATTACAGATAATATGCACCTTGTAGTTAACTAATCGTAAATAATACTTCACAAAAAAGTTGAAAATCAAGAAAAAGTATATAAGCCAAATACAATTCTTTTAAAGCAATTAAGTCGATATCTACAAGACTCAAATGAATAAGTTAACGATAAGTGTAACTAGAAAAGAACAAATCAATAAAGATACATAAATTTACTTGTCAAATCTATCAGAAAAGTGACAACTACCTACCTCATTTGCCTGTTTGACAAAGTTACCTACATACTTAATTCTTTTCAATTTCAGACAAAATGCAAAATCTAACTAATCCAACTTTCAACATACAATAATCTTCTAATTAAGTTTGAGACACGCCTTAAGGATTTAAGTTATGTACATAGATAGTAAAAATAACCTAATGGCCCAACAATAATAAGAAGAAACTCACTTGATATCAACACTGTTGGAAGAGACAAATGAAGAGATATTCTTCTCAACCCATTTCTCAGCAGCACCCAAACTGTTAGCTAAACTATAAAGCATTTCATTTGGGATTCCAACCATGACTTCAATTCCAGAGCCACTGAGTGCTTTAAAGATATCTGAATCTGCATCAAACAGCTTCACTTTCTGAATTCCATTGTCCTTGAGCAGCTTCACTACTATGTTTGGTGGCAAAGGATGTGTTGCTTGTGTTCCCCAGTTTGCTCCAATTCCATACACTTTTCCTAATACCATAAACCCCAAAATCATCGAAATCCAAATACCATCTTTCATACCAATAATTCCCATGATCCTTCACTCTTTTTCACTCTTAGTCAAGAATCAAGAACTTGCTGAAAACAAGAAAAGAGAAACTTAAAATCCAAAACCAATATTTCATTCCAAAAACACCATGATCCTCTGTTTTAAAACTTTTTACTAGCTCAAGAATCCAAAAGGGCCTCCAAGAATTGGAATTCAAGAGGCTGAAAACTTACCAATAATAAGAAAAGAAGATAATTTTATCTGTTTCTACAAATCCCATGTTCAAGAACTCAAGAGAGCCTCAGGAGATTTGGAATTCAAGAATTCATACTGTGAAGGGCTCTTGCTTGAGAAGGAAAAGAAAAAGGGTTGCAAAAGAGGAGTTCAAATTTTGAATTGGAAAAGATCATTTGTAGGAGAAGCTGAAAAGATACCAAAACAAAGGAGGCAAGAAAGCATATTATGAAATGAAAACAGTGAGAAACAAAAGAAAATAAAAGGGAGTGGTTCAAAAGCTTAGAACTTTACACCCCAAGGAAGAAAACAGTAGTCTACTACTTACTAGAGAAAACCAATCTTGTTAAGCAAAGGAAATTTAACAATAAAAAGCTGTAGGAATTCTAGAGTTCTGTGCATGAGCCACATGTAGTTGTCATAGAAGAAGAGAAAGGTGAAGATGATAGCTACATATGTGAAAGTGACCTAAATTTTCTTGGATATATATAAAGTCAAGTGATCTAGCATCAACTGAAGTTTATGCCATATATATATAGTGCAAGATTAAAGGAAACAAAACTAAATTTGAGTTAAGAATATCATCATTTTCTAAAGATTACTAAACTGTGGTGATTGCATGCACTTGATCAATGTGTGCTTTTGCTTTTTAGTTTGTGGAAAAGTAATTGTCCATATATCACATACTTTTATTTCCACAATCATTAAATTGTTTTGTTTCTTGAATTTTATATTCAATTATGCAAAAAGTTAAATGGGGTCCACTTTTACCATTTTGCCGCTCAATAATTGCTTTATTATTTTCACAAGTTTTATCTAGATATTTGGTTTGGATCTTTACCAAAAGATACTTAGGACCCGTTTGGCCATGAGTTTTGTCAAAATAAATTTGAGATTTATTTGGCAAATACATATTTGACCATAGATTTTGCCCAGATTTTGACAAAATCTCAAATCCTAAATCCAAAATCCCAAAATCACCTCAATGGCTGATTTTGGGCCAAAACTTGACTTTTATATTTTTAATTTTTTTTAAATATTACCCCAAACTTTTATAATTTATAAAAGAGCTCACATTTATTACGACCAACTAAATATTTGATGAATATGCTCCCTTATCAGTTCAATCCTTTGTGCATCTTACTTTTGCTTCTGATTTGTAGGCTAAATGGCTTTATGAACACTCATATCAGTTAACTTTTTCTTCTTAATTAGGAGTCGTAATTCTCTAATGGGATTTCACTATAATTAATGATTTATATAGTTCATTATAAAAATAATAATTTTGTACCAAACTTATTTATGTTCAGGACTATGGTTGTGATAATGATATTATTGGGTATTTGTGATAGTTTTTAGACCTTGTGGATATAAGTCATGTTTCATGTTTTTTCAAATAAAAAGTGAAATATGTTTTGAAAAATCATGTCCAAACACATTTTCATCTTCAAACCAAACTTCCCCCAAATCAGATTTTTCAAAACAAATTTGGGAATCTATGGCCAAACGCTAGCTTAGTAATATGTATAATATTTTCATCCCGAAAAGAAAAATTAATTTAACAAGATCAAAGCATAACTAGTGAACCCTCGTATCTTCACTTTTAACTCTAGGTGATACATTCTAATCCTTGCTAAATTCTGTTCTTAGTAATTTAATTTGAGATTGAGACTACACTTTACTAATATTTTCTCTTTTCTAAATTGAATTTTACCTTTTATATATAAGCCGCCTCAATGGATTGCTTACATTTTACAATAAGAGCTTCAACGTGTATTATTGTACAAACACAAATAGGATGCTCAATCTTACTTTTCTTAGGATCAGCATTTTTCCTCTTAAATTATATTTTTTATACCCAAAATGTAAATGTGCAGCCCCCATGTTCAACAAAATGTGTGTGTGCTTAGATACATGAGAGGATTACAAGGTTGGAAATTGAAACCTCACCAGGATGGAAATTTATGTTGTCGACCAACAGGTCAAAGTTGCACGTTTTTCTTTTTTTAGTTACTAATAATATCTAATTCATCAAAATGGAAAATTCTAAAACATATTAGTTGCATATAATATTAAAGTGTGACCTCAATGATTCTACCAACACTTCTTATGCAACAATATTGTTTCTTTTCATTTTCTCTTTTGGAAAGAAATTTTTCTTAGTATTAAGTGCATAAGGACATTAAAATAGAACAAAAAGATAGTCATATTAAATTCACATTTTCAAATGTAGTTAAGAAAGAGATAAAAGTTAAAAGTATCTTGAGTGTTTGAATGATTGATGATAGAGAAGAAAGAGCATAAACAAATGTGTGCATGACTGCACGGGGTCCCGAATGGTACAACACAAATGGCTTTTTAGTCATTCCTTGACGCTTTTCACTTTTACATGAGAATTAGGTATACTTACTTTAGTTTAGACCAGAGGGATTGCTCTGGTGGTAAGCACCCTCCACTTTCAACCAATAGGTTGTGAGTTCGAGTCACCCCAAGAGCAAGGTGGAGAGTTCTTGGAGGGAGGGAGCCGATGGTCTATCGGAAACAGCCTCTCTATCCTAGGGTAGGGGTAAGGTCTGCGTAAACACTACCATCCCCATACCTCACTAGTGGGATTATACTGGGTTGTTGTTGTTGTTGTAGGTATACTTACTTGGAAGAAAAATTAGGTGTGAGACCTAAGGGGCTAACCAGACGCTCAAGAAGTAGAGAACTTCATCTAGAAAATGAAAGACTACTTTGAACACTTTGGCATCGTTGATGAGGCTGCCAAGATCCGGGCAGCAACGATGTATCTTGCTGAGACCGCTATGCTATGGTGGAGAAGGAAGAAAGCCGATATGGAAAAGGGAACTTGCTCCATCAAGAGTTGGGAACAGTTTAAGTTCGAATTGAAATGCCAGTTCTACTCCAGAAAACGGTTCCGTGACAAGTGTAAAATATACCTTAACTCCTTATAATAAAATATGCATATTCACTACCATCTAGGAAGAAGAATAATACTAGTAGATCAAAATAATATGAGTTCCATTTCTACCAACAACAAAAAAAATAGTTTGTATAATGTTATAGTAGTATATGAAGCCAAATTTACCTTTTTTCATCTTAATCAAACATCATCAAATTTTTATCTTGTATCTATTTGTATAATGTTCTCCTTTCCCAAGTCTAATTTGAGTTTCCCTTCTTCTTGAAAATCTATATCTTCAATGAATCATATAACAACTTGTCACCATTTAGTTATGTGATCTTCTTAGTTTGTTTTGCCACTTTTTCAATTAAAAGTGTAGTACTACTCAAATCCCACTATGATCAAACGAGCTAACCCGAATTGGATATTTTTTGGAAAAAGGAAGTCTTCTGCATGCATTATTACGAGTATTTGTACTAGTGAATTTAAAGTACACTTTGGTGACCGCCAACGGGTAGGAATTGAACCCTAAAGTTGAGCCACTTAACCAACCTTCAAATAGATTTCCATATCTTAACATGTGATTTTTTTCTTCTTACAAGAAGTATATCCAATTTGAAGAGAATAAGGTTTTATACGTTCCAAATTTTCGATAACTTCCTTCAGATTTCACATATATTGTTACGACCCCAATTTCCCACCTTAAGATGTCGTGATGGCACTTAATCTCTAAAACTAGGTAAGTCTATCATGCATAGAGAGATGGCGGAAATAACAATAAAACTTCAAATTTAAACCATCTAAACTATCATAATAGAACTCAACAGTACAGCTGACAATAACTCCTAAAATATGGTGGAACTGAGTCATAAGCTCTACAGGAAAGTACTGTAAAGTCCCTAGTACAACACTGTCTAGATAAAGAGTAAACAGTAACAAAATAAGGACAGAGGGTGACTCCTAAACCTGTGAACGCCGGGCAGGTATACCTTGAATTCTCCGAATTGAATGATCCACTCACTGATGTCTAGCCTGAGTCGAGGTACCTGGATCTGCACAAAAGTGTGCAGAAGAGTAGTATGAGTACACCATAACGGTACCCAGTAAGTATCAAGCCTAACCTCGGTAGAGTAGTGACAAGGCCAGGTCAGGACATCTACTAGGATAAGAAAAGCGGAACAAGTATAGTATAGTCTAATAATGAAAACGAGGAAATAATGGCAATAAAGCGATACAACAAGGTAAGCTACAACTGAATTTAAAGCAATAAAGGAAACAAAGAAGGAGCACATAATAAGAACATCAAGGAAATAATGCGGACAAATACAAGTGAGGTAAACGAGAGATAACAACAAGAATCACAACCGAGGTACCACCTCGTAACCTCATGTCGTCGCTTACACGCACTTTAGCCCACCTTATGTCGTCGCGTTGCTTCAAATAATTTTCTAACTAGCAACACACACATAAATCCCATCTTATGCCGCCACATGCACATTAACCCTATAGCCGTATGTGTATCAATATCACAATAAAATAACAAATCGCACCACAAGTGCCCGTATGCCACAACCTGCCAAAAATTATCAATACCAAAGTTTCCACAACATATAGCCCACGACTCAACTACAATATGAACAAGATCTCAATAATTACAAAATAAAAGTGAATAGCTCAACAAGAAAGATACTGCAACAATTAACAACTTCGCCTCAATGTGATAACGACTTTTACAAATTCAATACCAATAACTTAACAAGAATATATTCCATGAAATAACAACTTCAAGTAAGTAATTCAACAATTAAAGAAGTAACAAGACAATAAGGAAGGCAATAACTTCGACTAAAGCATATAAGAGCAAAATAACAAGTAAGAGGTGGAACAAGTATTAACAATGTCAAATAAAGTATGTAAGGGTAGATTAACACATGTAAGGGTAGGCTAACAATGAAAGGTATAACATGCACATATAGGCAGTGTACCCACTCGTCACCTTGCGTACACAGCTTTTACATAACACAAATAGCACAATCAACCCAAATCCTATGGGGTAGTTCCCCCACACAAAGTTAGGCAATATATTTACCTCAAACAAGCCAAATCAATCCCCTAGTAAGCTTTTTCCGTAAATATCCAACTTTGGATGGCTCGAATCTAGCCAAAATAACTTAATACCATAAATACAAACCATATGAAACTATTCCGGATAATAAAGTAGCAACCTTTAAAGAAAATTAAAAAGTCAACTCAAAAGGTCAACCCCGGGAACGCACCTCGGAACCCGATCAAACTTACAAAATCCGAATACACATTCAATAACGAGTCCAACCATACTAAAATTATCCAATTCCGACCTCAAATCGACCTACAAATCCTCAGTTTATAATTTAGAAAGTTTTAACAAAAATTCGTAATTTTTCCAACTCAAAACACTATTTAACTGATAAAAACAATTATGGATCCATGAATAATAAGCAAATTCGAGTAAAAAATACTTACCCCGATCCAATCCTTAAAAATCTCCTCAAAAATCGAGCTCTCTAACTCAAAGTGAGGAAAATGAAATAAACCCTCGACTCTAACCCTTTTCTGCCTAGTTATTCCGCTTTTACGGACGCCTGGTCGCTTCTGCGACTCCGCACCTGCGGAAAAATATATCGTAGGTGCGACATCGACTAAACTTAGGGATTTTCACTCCTACGGACAAAACGCACACCTGCGCTTCCGCTT